ATCAGCTCATTAGCATAATAAAAACACCTTTATAGCTTATTCCTCTGATGTGAAATTCCAAGATTTTTAGGAGTTCAGTGCCAGAAATGGCATGAAGGTCAAATACATATCTCTTATAAATCATAGTACCATAGAGGTGCAGCCATATTGAAGGCATAAGGAAAATAAAGATCTGGTTCATATTTAGGGATATGTTTATGGGTTTATATCAGGAGGATAAAGTTAATGGAGATATCAGACAGGAAATACTTGCTTGTGTCTCAACCATGTCATCTCTTCAAATTTTAATTTCTACTTCTAAGAAGTCATGTGGGAACAAGAGCAAAGAGTGGCATCTATTACCTCTGCAGTATTTATGGAGCTCTTACTTTGTGCAGGTTCTGTGCCAAGCCATGGGATACAAAGGCCAATTGACTTTGTTTCTGGACAGGAGTCTCTGTCCCATAGGACCACAGACAAAACCAAAAGCTACAATTCAGAGAATTAGTCCTGCATGAGTGGTGGCATAAGGTACCATGAGACCATGGAGAAAGAAGCACCCAATTTTTCCTGGCTGCTTAGAAATAGTTAAAAGCTGAAGAAGGAGCAAGTTTGACAATTATATAGGGGGACAAAAGATATTCCTAATAGAAAAAAGTAATATGGGAAGTTCCCTGGCAGTCCAGTGATTGGGACTTGGTGCTTCCACTGCTGTGGTCCAGGATTTAATCCCTGGTCAGAACTTCCCACAAGCTAGCCAAAAAAAAAAAAGTAGTAAAACAAAATTTTAACCTTGACTAATTGGATCAATAGCTTACCTCCATAGCTAAGTTATTCACTTCTTATTTGCTCTTTATTCTTCTGTTACTGAGTTTCTGGCTCATTATGTCACTGAGTGACTATGATGATCACCAAACTACCTAACCCAAATATCTGATCTTATTTGACCTGATTGATACTGTTCACCACTCACTGCTCCAGGAAATTTTTCCTCTTTTGTCTTCTTGTAATCATAACTTTCTGATTCTATTCTTACACCTCTGACCACTTGTTTGTGTTTCCTTTATAAGTGCTCTGTAACAAGGACCTGGCAAATACAAAAGGAGAGAAAAAACAGAACAGAACAAAGGAACAGCCTTTATCTTGAATTAGGCAATACTCTTAACGCCTATGGAAAATTAGGATGAGATCATTCTTTCAAAAGGCACTAGTCATATAGAAATTAGAAGAAAAGGAGTTTAAGATACACAGCCCAGCATTTAGCTCAAATTTCAGCTTTAGAGCTAAGAGAATATCTTTACTAGATTATAACATCACCAGGGTAAAGTAAGAATATCTCTGTTGATTCCAGGTATCAAAGAATAGGAAAGAACTGGGAAACAGAGATTAAGATAAACAGCAATGAGTGAGTGGGAATTTGACAAAGGCTTTCATGATACTTCTGTATTTGTTATATATAAACTATTATTTTAAAATTTGGCTTTTTAAGTTTCTCTATTCTTTCTGACTGGATCTAGATTTATCAATTCAATGATGTGTGATTAAGAATTTTATTTTGTCTCTCTATTCAAAATCAAGTGCCTTGTGTAAACTTGCTTATGTTCTCTAAAAGTTTTAAGTGAGTTTTGCTTCATGGTATTACAGCATTTGAGAGCATTCAAGAACTGTAAAAAGAGATCCCTCAATTTCAGAAGCAGGCTTGGATATCCTGTACCTTCAGATATCATTCCTGAGATGTTACAACATTACTTGTTTAATCCCAGGTGGATACAACTAGACTCTAGTCATGAGGAAACAGGGGTCAAATTCAACATGAGAAATATTCTGTTTTTTTTTTAAACAAAAGAAAAGAAAAATGTCAAGGAAGACCAAGAATGACCAAGGAATTAGTCCCCAGGCTAAAGAGGACTAAAGTGGTATGATAACTGAATACAACATTTGGATTCTGTACTAAAAGAAAAAGAATTCTTTAAAGGACACTATTTGATCAGTTGACAAAACTGAAATATGGATAGTAATCAGATAAAAGTAAAATGCCAACATTCAGGTGCAAAAGCTAAAATTTGCATTATGGTTAAGCAATAAAATGTTCTTCAGAAATGCACACTGATATAAATAGGGAGAAAACAGCTTGATGCAAGGTGTTCTCTTCAAATAATTCAATGAAAAAAGTATTTCTGAATACCCTACACACAGAAAATGTTGACGCAAAGAGGGAAAATGATGGATGAAATTGAGTAAAGGACAGAGGGTAGACTTTGCATTATTTCTGTTAACACTTTCTTTTTCTTACTGTATTTTTTTAAATTTTAGTGAAGTATAGTTGATTTATAATATTGTGCTTAATTCCTGTTGTACAACAAAGTGATTTAGTTGTACATGTATATATACATATATATGTATATATTCTTTTTCATATTCTTTTCCATTATGGTTTATCACAGGATATTGAATATAGCTCCCTGTGCTATACAGTAGGATACTGTTTATCCATCTTATATATCATAGTTTACATCTGCTAATCCCAAACATTTTAAATATGAATTTGAAATAAATTTCAACATATAGAAAGAAAGAAAATAGAAAGGAAGAAATCCTGACTATAAGTAACTCTAAGGAAGCTCATAAGTCCAGAAACTTTTCAGGAAAGGTATTTTGGGGCTAATACACTAAGTTGTTTGAACTAACAAGTGGAATGGCAACTTCAATTTTTCAGGCAGTGTCTATGGTATAGTTGAATCCACAACCCAACTTTTCCACAGATAAGGAGGAAGCTCTGTGGAGCTGCCTTCCAATCATCAGTCATTTTTCTTTTTAATGATTTTAAAAACAGAATAGACCATAAATGAATTGGTAAGAATTACTAAAAGTACTGGTAGAATAAATAAATCATACATGTACAAAAATTAGTCATTGTTTTTCATATTGACAGGAAATCTATCTATATCTACTTTTAACACTAAACACTGCTCACATGGTGATGGTTGTTTGAGACACATTTTCTTTTGTGATACAGAAAAAGGACAGAGGAGAATGTGCAAAATATTGATTACCTTAAATTAAAAAATAGATTAATGAAGTTTATAATTTTGCTTTCAAATATAAATATATAAATTGAAGAAAGGTAATAGAATGATGACATGTTACTTAAAGCAGAAACTCCATGTTGCTGAGCATTGGGATTTAGATTATTAATAAATTGCAGTTTGCAATTATTGGAAACATTTATAAAAATATCAGCTAAGTGTGGCTATTCATTAAATAACAGTTAATAGTTATGCTAATTTTACTCATTTGCTCTGTATGGTAGGATCAGAAAAACTATGTACAGTTTAACTTATAACCCAATCTGTCTTCTTTCGGCTTCAAAATGTTATCCATTATCATTATTCTAATAACTTCACTAACCAACATTCATGGTATTTAATTAAACTAAAATATATCCAAGCACTTACAAAAAGAATATGCATAATAATAAGTACCACAAAGAAGAGTTAAATCCAAAATATTAATCTTAAATTGTATGAATGTGGAGATTATGTGCTTCATTCTTAGAAAAATTATATTTTCATATCAGATTTAAATCCGGGAAGATGATTAAGAATCAACCTTACATTTGCATATCACCTTATACTTTTAAAAGCACATTTATAAGTATTATCTTTTTTGAGTCTCACAATAGCCAGAGATTTTTATCATTCGATTTTTGGAAAGTAGGAAACCAGCTAACTGAGGCTAAAAGATTTGCAACTAGGATTTACTGAATTGATGAATAAGGAAGGTGAGATTGGAGCACATGTATTCTAATTGCTAGTCCTGGGATTGTCTCACATTCCATGGAGAGTCCTTCCACTAATTCAGGGCTCACAAATCAGTTCTATGATTCTTAGCCACTCTAGAGAGGAAAACGTTGGCAGTCAAGAGCACACTCATGCTTCAGAAATATTACAGGGGCCGTAATGCATATTATATAAGCATATATTGCTGTTATATTGATTTTTTTCTCACATTAATAGTAATACTAAATGTATGATGTGAGGAAGTCTCATTAGACCTACTGCCTAAATGAGGAAATTGAAAGACACTTAAGGGTAAGTGAAATTAAAGAAAGCATTAGCAGATAGAAGAGATGTTCTAATTGTACTTTTTCTACATCTCTATAAAATGTCTTTCTGATTCCTTTAATAGAGATTTCTTCATACTAGCCTTGTTCAAGTTATTTCTACCCCAAATACAAAACAAATAAAAATCAGATTTTGTCTATCTGAAATGTGGTGGGGTCCTATTCACAAAAAGTACCACTCTTACTTCCATGGTACGTTTAAAGCTATATTATTCAAATTTTAGATTTTATACAAACAGATGACTTGTTTTGATGATGTTTATTCCCAGCTTCCTAAAACTGACAATCTCTTTAGGAGGATGTGCCTTGTATCAAAAGCACAAGACACTAATAAACATGTTACATCCCTTAATCTCATCTAGCTATGTGATCTTTTACAAGTTACTTAACTCTTAGGTTTTTAGATTCCTCATCAGTCAAAATTTATTGTTAACTGCCAAATCCTTGATTCTGAACTACAGTTTGAAATTAGACTCAGCAACCTCATAATCTGTATAATTTCATTCTCCCCTGATTACCTCAGCAGTTCACACTGGCCTATTAACATGTGAATGCCGACTGAATAAAAGCCTTACACATTTAAATGAAGATATTTCTCTTGTGACATTTTCCATTTGAGTCTTTTGTCTATTGATGTGTGATTATCCAGTATACTACCGTGAAAGTAACCTTGCCTAGGCATCGAGAGAGAGACCAAGGTTCTACTCTGCACTGTGACAGAAAATGTTCATTTAACTTTTGTGAACTGCAGACATTTGGGTATAAAAAATAAGTATAAAAATATGCATCCTGTCTACTTCATGAAAAAGATATGAAAAATTAGTAGTCGCTTAAGTTTTGAATGAGTTTGCAGAATGATATGAACAGCAGGAACAACACTGATACACTTCTGTTTTACCTGATGGAGAGATGTGCCGCCAAGAAATGGAAGGCTCTGGTTTCCCAGTGGCCAAACAAGTAAGGGTGACATTGGTTCCTTCATTGATGGTCATATCGCTTGAGATGTCATAAATCTTCGGAGGAACTGAAATGGCAAAACATGCAGTGGTCAGAAAAAAATATGTGTATATATATATCAGTCTGTTGAACTACATATGATTAGCTCCATGTTATGCAAACAAACTGCGGTGGTGAAATGAACTTATGGCTCAGGATCATCACCTAAACAATAGTCTCTAGATCTTCAAGATTATCCCAGAGGGTTTTTATTTTTTTCCCTTTTTGATTGGTTTTAAATTTCTCTAGTATTTAACTATGAAATATATTAGGAAAAATTAAATATTTAATAATGAAAGTTTATATGTTGTTTAAATGTTATTGTGAGTACTTTGTACTAAGTAAACTATAATATAGTCATCTGTCGGTTCCATCTACATACTTCACTATAATGATGGTTTTCCAGTTGAAATGATTAAAGAAAAATGGAAATCTAGAAGAAATTTAAAATAATAGGACAGCTATGCCTATATGCTGATTTATGAACTAAGTGAGGTAAAACATAGAATTAGGATATATGTTTTCAAGTTCACAAAGGCAATTGGGTCCTCAATTTTCTCATCTGCCAAAGAGTAGGACTGGACTTTCTGATCATTTATGTTCTAAGGAACACAAACTCTAAGGGCTGTGAAAGATATGTCCAATATGTATTTTCTTGTCAGCAATGAATTGAAATTGATTGAAACAGGTCTCTTTATGTTGAGATTTCTTGGAACATTTGTTATGACCTGTTGCTCTGTAGGTCTATGAGAGTGAAAAGGGAAATACTGTGATGTGTTTTATTTTCTCTGATGTATCAAGCTATGGAAACTTTTATATCAGAGAAGGTGACACAAGTAGTGACCCAGGGTAAACTTTGGGAGTGTTGGATAGAAAAATACCTAAATTAACTTCCGGAATGTCGGTATTCTCTCAAACGGCAAATGATCGCGTTTAATCCTTAAACAGCATGGATATGAATCCTCGGTCCTCTGCAGACTAGCTGTCTTATCTCAGCCTGAGTTCTTCATCTGAAAGCTGGAGGTTATATTAGTATAAACCCACATAGCTGCTGTGAGAATTAATAAGTTAACATATTTAAAGGGTTTAGAAAACTCCTGGAATTGTTGTTAGATATTATTATTATAAGCTTTAAAATACATATTTGGTGTTTGAACTTAATTTCACTACTGCTCTTTCCCATGCCTTAAAATTTCTCTCCGAACTTTACCACTTTGATGGTATACATGAGTGCCCTGTACCAGTTTTGGTTTCTACATAAAAATTATAGTATGTTGAAGCTTCAGGTCAAAGCTAAATAAATGGCAATTCAATATATTGATCACTATTATAAAAACATACTTTTGTAGTGGATATTTTCTCATTGTTCCATTCTTAGGGTGTCTTTTGGCAAGAGATGTGTTTTCGTAGCTATTTTGAAAACCAGTATCTATAATCTGTCATAGGGATGAATTAAATTGCTCATACTTTGAATATCATCTTTGATTTTTTAATGGAACCCAAACTCTGCTACAAGAAAATGTGGGAGGATTTGATTACAAACACAATGTATTTGACTATATGTAACTGGTGATATGATTGAGGAAAAGGTTTATTCTTAAGTGATATACTGTTGTAACTGTTTCTAAATGACATACTTTAATTGGCATTTAAAACATATATGATTAAATTCTTCAGTGAGCTCGTCTCAAGCAAATAAGCAAAAACTAAAAACGATTCCAAACAGAAGACTCTTTTTAGCTTAACTGAAACAGAACAGAAATAAAGATATTAAAATACCTTAGGAAGAAAGTAGAGAAAAATGTGTAAGATTTACTGGTGAATTGAATATTTAATAAAATTATAGCATTAAACAAAAAATATCGTTTGGATAGATGGATGTAGGTATTGATTTAATCAGTAAACTATGATATACATGGGTATATACACATACATGTGTATGTATGTATGTATGTATATATATGTATATGTAAATACATATATACCAATATCTACTATTAAACAAAGAAGAAGTTATGTTATACTTTCCTTCTTTATGTAGCACAGTGGTATCAGTTTAGTCTGACTAGTTTATTTATTTCAAACATAAAACTAATTCAACTTTGGACAGAGGTATAAATATTTAAGAGAAGTTATGGAGTGCCATAAGACATGCATTCTAGCCTCTAAATTAAATGATTTTCTCAAATTTTATCTGATCTTAAAATAGTTTATTTTCATTTTTACACATGTACTTAAAAGTGGTAAACATAAGTACTGGTAAACTAATATTAAGCACAATATTTGACTTCACAGAAAAACAGCCAAATTCCTTAGCAATAAACTTAGATTTAACATTTAACTATGGGAAATTCTGTGGTGGGTGAATACTGTTGAATTCCAGGTGTGACATGTCAGTCCAGTGATTGCAACCACCTCCTGGGGCCTCATAATTCAGGATATGCTATGGTAAAGAAACATCTGGAAAGAGGATGCTAGTAAGAGAAAATCCCTCTGGCAAAGCTCTTTTCCCCAAAATGCATCACCTGTTGGCAACAGATGTTGTGTGTAGAGAGAGCCAATGAAAATCCTCACATGCACTGTAGCTTGTGGAGGCAAAAGCAGGTGTTCCTTTGCTGAACACTCAGTCATTGCATATTCAGTTCAAGACTTCAAACTTTTACTGAGAATTAGGGAGGGAATAATTCTGGACTCACAGGAAATGTAAAAATTTTCTAATATAATCCTTCACCTCAAGAAACTTAAAATTTAAATAGGGAGGCAGATAGATAACTAATTAAGAGAAGATAAATATTTACCATGGTTTTTTTTCTCCTTTTACATGAGGAACACATGTCTAAACAGGTATGCCTTCAGGGTTCAAAATATCAGAGATTAATTTTGTGTTCATTTCTCTTAAAGCAAACCATGAAGGATAGTTTATGCACAAAGTTATTCATTGTGGTGTTAATTATAATAAAAAAGAACTATTAATAACCTCAACATAAGACAAAGAAATAGAGATATTGGTTAGCTCTGCCTCCAAAATAAGATGTGTTACTGAGGAAGGGTTTGGGATGAATCTAGGGACCACTGGGATAAGATATAAAGGAAGAGAAAGGTGGTTTCTACTCTGGGTGGCAGGAACAGAGAAGAATGGTAATGTTTCAGACGTCATAAGACCATCTGGGTTCGGATAACAGTTTTTGTATAAAAGGCAAGAACTCCACTGAACTTTCTAAATGACAAAGCATTATGTCTTATATGTCCAATAGCATAGAAAAAAGTATAATGAGTTAAAATGACTATTCTAGACATCTACTTCTTTTCTATATAACATATCTCAAAATCCTTCAACATTTTTATTAATAAATGTAACTTAAAAATCAATTGTTTAAAAAAAAGCATGTTCAATCAGTTTAATAATTTTAAGTCACTAAATAACTACATTTTAATCAGTATTTCAGGTTGCTGTAGAATTATTAATAGTTAAATACTTATGACCTGGACCAGAGCAATAAAGGAGTAAGCTATCCATTTAAATATACACTTGTTTAACTTTCAGAAAATTATGATTATAACCTTAAAATTGCTATACTTTTAAAGGAATCACTATTGCACCTTTGAATTAATAACATACTCTGCCTTTAATTAATCATTCACAGGATTCAATTTCAACTACTGTTTACTACCCTGTTCTCAACTTTTATTCAGTTGATGCCATGGTGGGAGAGGATGATCTATATTTAGATGCATTTATAGATTTAGATTCATTAAGTGCTAATCGCTCAGTTGTATCAACTCCATGGACTGTAGCCCACCAGGCTCCTCCGTCCATGGAATTTTCCAGGCAAGAATAAGGAGTGGTTAGCCATTCTCTTCTCCAGGGGATCTTCCTGACCCAGAGATAGAACCTGGGTATCCTGCATTGAGGGGGATTCTTTACCATCTGAGCCACCAGGGAAGCCCTATTTGATTCATTACAATAATTCAAATCTCTTACTTGTTTCACTTTCATCAAAAATTATGCTATATGACTTGCCCCAACTGCCTTCTCCATTTGGAACCATCTATCAGTGTCCTTAGACAGGGTATAGAGTATCATCAGTAAGGAAAATCTTAGAATACATACCTAAACCAAATGCTAATGATTTCCGCACAACCAAGCCACTTGGGATTATTCCCTACTATTTGAACTATGAGAGGCAATTGAGTTTTTGAGTGTCCTCTTGGTTGCTTTTTAAAACTATTTTAAACTTGTACATAATTTCTAAACTGTATAAAAAAAATAAGGTTTTTGTTTGTTTAACAAGCAGCCTTCACAGATTTAACTTACATTTCTTCCAGCAGCTCATCTTTTAGTCTGGAACATGGTCATTAAAATTTTGAGAAGTCAAAATAAGGGTGACAAATCTGTACAACACAGGAATCATATGAGCACACTTTTATTTTATATGAAAAGTCTGTGCAGGGAATGTGGCCAGGACCCTGGTGTGAGGAAGTCAGAACGGAGGAGCCTAGCAGTGTCCATGTGCTCCAGCCTGCTTCCTAACAGGATGGAAGCTGGTGGGAAATATTTTTTTAAAGCCCATGCAGATGATTTTCAGAAATAATAAACAGAGTTCCCATCTATAGTAGGTTGCATGAGATGTGAGGTTGTGTCACACATAATAGTGAAAGTCCCTAGAGAATGTATTTGATGGTGATCTTGCATACATGTGTGCTAAGTCCTTCAGTCGTGGCTGACTCTTTGTGACCCCATGGACTGTTGTACCACTAGGCTTCTCTGTCCATGGGATTCTCCAGGCAAGAACACTGGAGTGGGTCGCCATGCCCTCCTGCAGGGGATCTTCCTGATCAGGGATACAACCCACATCTCTTATGTCTCCTGCATTGGCAGGTGGGTTCTTTTCCACTAGCACCACCTGGGAAGCCTGATGGCTATCGTAACTTTAAGTAAATGCAAGACAAGGGTTACTTGGATCTAGACAGTTGCACTAGCTCACTAGAATCAATTAAATGCTTCATCAGGTTCTTAAGTTGTAAGAGTCCATGAAAGACCACAGTACATACAAATCCATTAGGAGAGCTTCTTTAGGCTACCAGGGCCAAA